CTTAGTTAAATTGCAGTTTGCCATCGTTCTCTACAAAGTGTATGAGACATTATCTAAACGAATGGTCATTTTGGAAAAGTAATTTTTTATCATACCTCAAATTTAGTCCATAGACGATGTCAAATATTTCATTCCTCAGTACCCCTCATTACTCTATTCGCGACTGATGTGTGTGTCATGCTAACATGTGCATTTACTTATACGATATGATAGAGTCCTTTTGCTTTCCTGATCTCACGCTAACGGGCTTTAATTTCCCAAATTAAATTTTTACCCTTAACTCTTTGATTGTCCTCAATCTAAACTATACACCACGGTTTTATTTGTGTCAATCCCCTCCCTCATTTCCTTGTAATTCCGGCTTAGTTTTACTACTTATTATCGCCCTATCAGAACCTCAATATTCGCATGTCTTAAGTGTTATTTCATACCTTTAAGCAGGCCTCAGTTACCCCAAACAACACTTTTACCTAGCCTATGGGTTACCTTAAGACGAGATAAACCCAACCTGCCGCAGACAAGCCATCAGTCATGTAGCGATGTTTCCCATTATTTCCTTTGTTCCATTGTTCATTCTGTTTTTTTTTACTTTTATTTATCATTTTTGGATCTTTAATTTAGCTGCTGTTTGTGGAGGAACTGGTGGTACTCTTCTCACTGCAACCCCTCAGCAGGCTAGTGCCGCAGTCGCCTCCCTAGCCGCTGCCGGTACCCCTGTTATGATGATGGCAGCTCCAGGGACAGCTCAGCTACCACCTGGTGCCCAGCTCTCTGTTGCTATGCCAACCACTATATTCTTCCACCAACCCTCCGCTGCTGCTGGTGGCTCAGCTCAGGTTGCAACTTCTCTGTCTGGTCCCCAGCATCCACACACTCAGGTGCATTCAAATCAACAACAGCAACTGACTCATCATCAACAGGGCCAACATCAGCAACATCCCCAGCACCAACAGCATCAGCAGGCCAATACAACTGGGCAAACACACCAGCTGACTCATGCAGGTCAACATATTACAATTCAGTCAGCTCAGCAGCATCACCAACAACAACATCAACATCAGCAGGTATTGCTACCTTGTTATGTGCAGACGTTAGACAAATAAAAGTTGGTGTAGAAACCCAGTTTTTCTTAATAAAAGTTGGGTTTTGATGAATCTCTTGCCAATTGTTGAACTCATTAACATTTTTAGTAAAAATTCGATCCCACAGAAAGACCACCGCCGATTCCTTTTTGCCAGCTGTCGATTAGCTCTTGCTGACACTGCCAAGGGAGCTAGGTGAAGTCGGAAGTACAGTTTATTCCTTGCTGGGTTAGAATACCTTTTGGGAATCAAGCCTTTGTAAGATTCCATGAAAACCTGAGACATATTCATATAATTTAGGAAAATCCAACTATAACCTCTTTATAACTTTTAACTAAATATGGGGAATAAAGCATATCTATTTACCCTAAGCATATGCATTTAAATATGGTTTAAGGCAATTTGGTTAGTTTGAGTCATACGTCAACCTAGAAGCATGTGCGCGACTAGTATGTTCTTGTGTCATTAAATTTACGTATATGCACGATACCAGCAATACTAACTAAAACAAATTACCGTATTTTCTGGCGCATATAACGACTTTTCACACCATAAATTTCTGCTCGTAAGTGGGGGGTCGTCTTATACGCCGAGTGTAGTTTAAGGATCGCTAATTATACTATGGTTCCGAGCTCCTGTTGTGCCCCTTACCTCCTTAAAAAATCTATATTTTAACTGGAAAAGTCAGGGGATCGTCTTATACGCCGGAAAATACGGTACAACATAAAGTAATATCTGTACTCGGCCATAAATGTTTAATGATCCCTACTCACCTTTTTTTATATTTTATTCATCACAGCGATTGCGCAATTTCAGGCACAAATCTGATTAAGATTATTATTATTATTTATATAAGATGTATTCACCCTATTTCGTTTAAGGTGATAAAGGATTGATAGTAGAATTTTCTCACAATAATATTAGTAGGATTGACATTTCCATTGAATTTCACATAGCCTTGCTTTCCCAAAAGTTGTTCTCATCTGGGTTTGACTGCAGTTTCGACCTCGCATAGATCTTATCAACATCCCCAGCTGGAGTTGAACAGTGACAATGCAGCATGTCAGCTTGAAACGTTAACCTTTCGACCACATTGCAACAAGTGTCCTTGGGTCACAGGGCAGATGCGAATTTCAAGGAAGGCCAGACCTTTTCCCATATCACATTCTTTGGTGGGATTGCCGATGAAGCAAACGTATTTTTGTTATAACAATCGACTAAATTACTCATTTTTCCTATAAGTAGAGTCAATAGATTACCAATTAATAAGATATCTGAGATAAGTGAATCAAAGCGTTTAAAAATATGATCTTGATTTGACCGATTGCCAACAGAATACTAGTTGAATCGCCCTTTTTTTTCTTGCAGGTCAACACATTGTCTAACCTTACTTCTATTTCCTAAGCATAAGTTGTTTTTTTGCTTAACTTTTTACCTGCCCTCTTGACATTTAATGCATTTCCCATTTTTTAATATTTAAATAGCCAATAATTTTTCGCTTATCTACAGAAATGGCATAATCAACATTACAAGTTTGATATTATTCTTTCTCATGTATAATGTATGCAGCGTATTCCTTTGACTCTGATTTTTTAATGGAAGCTATGAAGACCAAGATGGTATGTTCGCAGCATACTTTCGATGTTGACTTCGTTGTTGCAACTTGGTCTTGTTGTCAGAGCGACATTGTAGAACGCACCAAGTCTGACAGCTAATATGACAGACGACTTAGAACTAGGTGTGTTCTACCAGGTCGCTATGAGAACAAGACCAACTTGCAACAATGAGGTCAACCCACTTCTGATTTTTTAACCCTACAAGCGTCTACAGACATTTTTGTGTTCAGCCCCTCCTTTTCAAATCAGATAACAGCTCTCCAATATAATTAACCATCCCATAAACACATTATGTTATAGATACGAAGAATAACTGGGTTTCGATGATTCCCCTAAGATAACATTGTTGAAGGGACTATCATTTTGTATGAAAGTGCATGATGAAGAGACTCAAAGGTCGATCTCAGCAGAAGACGACCGCTCATTCCCATTGTACTACAGTCGTTTGACTTCAATACGACGTTCAGGTTGACGTAGTCTACGAAGCAGCTTTGCTCGTACCGGGTGAAAACGGACTGTCCTCTTTAATTAGCGTAAATTTCATACCTTTACTCGAATGATTCCATCTCTGAGGTTATAAATCATATGTTGGATGAATACTTAGCCAGTTTTTACCCAAAACAAGGGAGGATGTTTCATAGAATGAGTCAATCGGAAGTTTGTACTAAAGCCAAAGGGCTGTAGTACAACGGGATCAGCCGCCTTCTGGTGAGATTGACCTTGGAAGCACTACATCCTGCACTTTCATACAGCAAAGCGACAAATTAAGTCGATTTTTTGACTATTTGTATGCTAAACAGTTGTAGTATCTCTCCTCTGTCATGGTTAATTCATCTGTCCTATATCCTTGTAACACTTTGCTATCACAATTTCTTACTTGCTTATCTAAGCCTAGTTAAGATGTATTCTTTTGATCGGATTTGGTGAGACATATCCACACTTTCCGCTGGCTCTTTCATACCTGTTCTTCATGCTAGGAATGTCTATCCGTGTCCACCCTATTATTATGCACTTCCCCTAAGGCATACCAGACTCTCTATCTTGGTACGTAGGCTCCGCCTCTTATTTACCTTGTTCAGTGATTTTACTCGATCGCTGCCATTATATATGTGCTACTCGAGGCGTTATGCTTTAGGCCCGACCTCAAGCCTTTGATATCACGTTTACGCCAGCCTAACTGAACAAGCCCCCAAAGTCTTAATACACAAATAGCATGGAAATGTAATTTGACGCTGCAACTTCCCTTATCATTTTGCCACGTGCACCGACTAAATTTCGTGGTCAATGCTTTACTTCACTGAATACATCTATGATCAAACTCGAATACTATTGGCCAACTATATATGTTCTCCGTCGCATCTCTTGCTCTTCTATGCAAAATCTATGACTTTGCTATGTCCTAATCTCTTGTGTACTGAATCCCAAATGTTATTGTTGTTTAAGTTACTTTGATTAGGCTCGCTGTAGACCTATCCTTTTTGTCTCCGATTGCTATTTTCTGGTCTCTGCGATTTCTTTTCCTAAAATTAAAGATATTAGTTTGATCA